TCCCAGTGCACCAGCCCTGAGCACATGTCTCATGTATCCAACCTGGGCTGGTGATCTGTTTCACCCTTGATAATATACATGTTTCAATGCTGTTCTCTCAGATCATCCCACCCTCGCCTTCTCCTACAGAGTCCAAAAGTCTGTTCTATACATCTGTGTCTCTTTTTCTGTCCTGCACATAGGGTTATCGTTACCATCTTTTTAAATTCCATATATATGCATTAGTATACTGTATTGGTATTTATCTTTCTGGCTTACTTCACTCTGTATAATGGGCTCCAGTTTCATCCATCTCATTAGAACTGATTCAAATGAATTCTTTTTAACGGCTGAGTAATATTCCATGGTGTATATGTACCACAGCTTCCTTATCCATTCGTCTGCCAGTGGACATCTAGGTTGCTTCCATGTCCTGGCTATTATAAACAGTGCTGCGATGAACATTGGGGTGCACGTGTCTCTTTCAGATCTGGTTTCCTTGGTGTGTATGCCCAGAAGTGGGATTGCTGGGTCATATGGCAGTTCTATTTCCAGCTTTTTAAGAAATCTCCACACTGTTTTCCATAGTGGCTGTACTAGTTTGCATTCCCACCAACAGTGTAAGAGGGTTCCCTTTTCTCCACACCCTCTCCAGCATTTATTGCTTGTAGACTTTTGGATAGCAGCCATCCTGACTGGCGTGTAATGGTACCTCATTGTGGTTTTGATTTGCATTTCTCTGATAATGAGTGATGTTGAGCATCTTTTCATGTGTTTGTTAGCCATCTGTATGTCTTCCTTGGAGAAATGTCTGTTTAGTTCTTTGGCCCATTTTTTGATTGGGTCATTTATTTTTCTGGAGTTGAGCTGGAGGAGTTGCTTGTATATTTTTGAGATTAATCCTTTGTCTGTTGCTTCGTTTGCTATTATTTTCTCCCAATCTGAGGGCTGTCTTTTCACCTTGCTTATAGTTTCCTTTGTTGTGCAAAAGCTTTTAAGTTTCATTAGGTCCCATTTGTTTATTTTTGCTTTTGTTTCTAAAATTCTGGGATGTGGGTCATAGAGGATCCTGCTGTGATTTATGTCGGAGAGTGTTTTGCCTATGTTCTCCTCTAGGAGTTTTATAGTTTCTGGTCTTACATTTAGATCTTTAATCCATTTTGAGTTTATTTTTGTGTATGGTGTTAGAAAGTGTTCTAGTTTCATTCTTTTACAGGTGGTTGACCAGTTTTCCCAGCACCACTTGTTAAAGAGGTTGTCTTTTTTCCATTGTATATCCTTGCCTCCTTTGTCGAAGATAAGGTGACCATAGGTTTGTGGATTTATCTCTGGGCTTTCTATTCTGTTCCATTGATCTATATTTCTGTCTTTGTGCCAGTACCATACTGTCTTGATGACTGTGGCTTTGTAGGAGAGCCTGAAGTCAGGCTCCCTTATCATTTAGATGTGTTAAAAGTAGGATCACACTATGTGTGTTATTCTGTGCCTTGCACCTTTTCCTTCAATAGTGTAAGCTAACACAAGCTGACATGAGCTGTTGTGGTTCATTCAGGTTCAGTGCTGTATATTCACCGTTTCAGGAAATCAGCATTTATTGATGCAGTCAGCTGGTGATGGACTTTTGGGCTGTTTCCAGTTTTCTGCAGTCATAAACATCCTCATTCATGTGTGCCAATACACGTGAGCAAGGGCTTCTCCAGGGGCTGGATAAAGCAGTGGAATCAGTGCATTGTGTGGAATGTACACACCATTTCACTTTAAAATGTCAGTTTTCCAGTGTGTTTGCACCAATGAACAGTCCCTACCTCCAGAGATTCTGACTTGATTGGCCAGTGTGAGGCTGGACACTGGGAGTGTTCAGAGTTCCAGGTGATTCCATCACGAGTCTTCACAGCACCTTTATTTCCAGCCCATCAACTCCAGTTAGTGTCATCTTGGAAGGAGTGTCCCTAGCATCCCTTTCGATTCTTCTCCCTCAAGAGTTTTGTATAAAGGTCTGAAAGAGAGAAGAGCTTTACCCTGGCAAGGTCAAAATGTAGAGTTGGGAAAGAGTATCTTAAGATGTGACAGGACTGGTTAAAATCCTTGGACAAAGGAAAGGCATGCAGGTGAATTTTTCCAGCAGGGTTGAGGAATTAAAGAAAACCCAAGGGCTGCGAACTCCATCTGTCAGCCAATTCCTCCTTCCTCCCATGCTACCAGTAGCCTTAAGTGTCTGTCTGCTGCTTGTAGGCCAGAGAGAATGTCATTCATATGGCTTATATACTGAGACATTGAGATGCCTGTGACCTGCTCTGAGGGTCTTTGTAGTCATGTTTCCTTAAAGAAACCATGGTTTGGGTTTCTTGATCCTGCCTGAATCTTAGAAATAAACAGGAGCTTTGAATGAATACTGATATCTGGACTCCAGACTAATTACATCAATGTCTGGGGAGAGACCTAGGTACCAACAGACTGCAGAAGCTACCCAGGTAATTCTTAAATGCAGCCAGGATAGAGAACCAGTAGTCAGTGGTTCAGCTTTATCAGCTGGATAAAGTCTCAGCTTTATCCAGTGTCCAACAGAATCACCTGGGGGCTTGTTAAGGACACACATGGCTGGGCTCCACTTGCCTGGGGTAGGGGCCTGGATGTGCATTTCTAGTAGGTTCCCGGTGATGCAAACATTGCTGGTCCCCCAACTACATGAGGAAAACCATTGTGCACCGAGGGTTTCCCTGCATGTCTCTTCATGGGGATCCAGGGCTGCCATGTGCTGAGCTGCTCTGTCTGACTGTGAGCCCCCTTCTACCTCAGTATTATGTTATCAGGCTGGTAGCTTGAAATCAGCCATGGAAATTGGCAAATGCTGCAAATCAAAACTCTGCCACCTCAGTCAGTCGCTAAACATTTCATAACATAGTTCACGTTATAGGCCCACAGGATAATTTTCCCATGCCTATAGGTTCCTAGTATTAAAAATATTTTTCTGGTTGAGTTATTAATACAACTAATAGTAGTTCAGCTTCTTCAGCATTACTGGTCAGGACATAGACTTGGATTACCATGATATTGAATGGTTTGCCTTGGAAATGAACAGAGATCATTCTGTTGTTTTTGAGATTGCATCCAAGTACTGCATTTTGGACTCTTTTGTTGACTATGATGGCTACTCCATTTCTTCTAAGGATTCTTGCCCACTGTAAAAGATATAATGGTCATCTGAGTTAAATTCACCCAATCCAGCCTATTTTAGTTCACTGATTCCTAAAATGTCAATGTTCACTCTTGCCATCTCCTGTTTGACTACTTGCAATTTGCCTTGATTCATGGACCTAACATTCCAGGTTCCTATACAATATTGCTCTTTACAACATCAGACTTCACTTCCGACACCAGTCATATCCACAACTGCGTGTTGTTTTTGCTTTGGCTCCATCTCTTCATTCTTTCTGGAGTTATTTCTCCACTGGTCTCCAGTAGCATATTGGGCACCTACCGACCTGGGGAGTTCATCTTTCAGTGTCCTATCTTTTTGCCTTTTCATCCNAACTGTGGTGTTGGAGAAGACTCTTGAGAGTCCCTTGGACTGCAAGGAGATCCAACCAGTCCATCCTAAAGGAGATCAGTCCTGGGTGTTCATTGGAAGGACTGATACTGACGCTGAAACTCCAATACTTTGGCCACCTGATGCGAAGAGCTGACTCATTTGAAAATACCCTGATGCTGGGAAAGATTGAGGGCAGGAGGAGAAGGGGATGACAGAGGATGAGATGGTTGGATGGCTTCACCGACTCAATGGACATGGGTTTGGGTGGACTCCGGCAATTGGTGATGGACAGTGAGGCCTGGTGTGCTGCGGTTCATGGAGTTGCAAAGAGTTGGACACGACTGAATGACTGAACTGAATAGTAGTCCACAAAGCCAATTAAATACATTCTAAAATTTGATAGTCATTAAATATGGAAAGTGAAGAAGATTCAGGGAACACCAGTATTTCAAACTGCATCCGTTTGGCCCCTGGGGATTTTTGACACCCTGGGCAATGCCAGGATGGGGAAACAGCACTGTAGGTCCACTCAAGGAAGCCAAGATTTGGAAATTGACTGTCTTTGAATAAAATGTGACCAAGAACTCTTGGGAAGTCTTCGTGTAGCCCCACTATGAAGACTGCTGGGCTAGCCCACTGCACTGCATGTGACAGGGTCCATGGCCAGCGTGTGCCCTGTCACTGGGAGGTCAGGCTTGATTGAAATCTCTGCTCTACATGGTACCAACCCCCAAATACCATGTCTAATTCTAACACTGCTCTCCACAAATGACCAGAGCCTGTGGCCTTGCTCTGAATAACCCTTTAGGCATTAACAACAGGGGCAAGCACTTGGACACAAGAAGCAAAGATTTATTAAAAAGAGAGGGTCTTTCCAAATGGATCCCCCCACCCACCAGGAGATTGGATTTACCTACATCTTGGGGTTGGGGTTTTTATGTATTGGGACAAGTTCCCTTACAAACAGTGCCCTGTTGTGTGTTCACCTAACTTTCCTGTTTGACCAACTCAGGAAATCAGCCGGATCACATTCTCGTCCGGTCCATGAAAGACAAGAAAAGGTTCTCTTCTGGCCACGGATTGACCCCAGTGTTGTCCTGAGTTTTTAATTTTGGGTTGGGGGGGGGCGGGGAACAGGGTGAGTGGTGATAGATTCAGTTGAATCGAGAGCTTCGAATCTGTCATCATCTTCAGTGAAACTTCCCTCAGTGCCCCTGACCTGCAAAGCATACTTTTGACCTTCTTCTGAACTGAACTCAGGACAGCTGTGAACATTTTGTGCAGTTCCTTTGAAACTTCAGGTGCTGCCAGTGCAAGACAATGGCCCTGTGTTCTTTCCTGGTGGGTCTGTGGGATCAGGACCATTGCTGGCGCTCAATGGGATTTGAGGCAACTGACTTCCGTGTATCGAAGTTTGCGGTGTCCAGGTGTCACTTCTGTCTAGGTGTGTGTTGATAAATCAGCCCTGACTTTCTCTTTTATTTCTCTGCAGTTAAATGCAAAATGGAGGACGAGGAAGAGGCTGCAGCTAAGACTCCACAACCGTAACAGCTGTCAGGCATCTCTCCCACTCTAAGCTCCAATCACCCGACTGGAGGACAGTGTTCTAGCTATGCTTCCTCTATTGTGTTTTCTTGAAGGACTAGATCTGGTACATTAGGATAAGGATCTTTTTGTTGCAAATATATTGTAGTGCAAATAGTTTATCAAGTAGTTTTAACTTTCTGCATTATCCCCCAATTTTATTCTTTCATCTGTCTATTTCTTCAGCGCTCCAGGAATATACTTCTACATCCCCCACTGCTAAAATGTACAACGAACTCTAGTTCCAAGGGATGTTGAAATGTTCTAGTTACCAGCTTCCCACTTTTGGTTGCCTTTGCCAAGATCCATGTTTAAAATAAAGTCCCAGACCTCTGCAGTGGGTTTAAGTATATCGGCTGAGCATGATATAAAAAAAAAAAAGACATCATTGCCTGTGATCCTTTCACAAGGAGGTTGACCCTGAACTTTGACCGCAAACCTAGCAAGATGCTTAAACACAGGCAACTATAACAGATAAATAAGTTTTGTGGTCTACGCCCTAAAACATTATAGAAAGTTCCTCATTTCATGGGTAAACTGATGTATTATCTTCAATTGTTCCACAGTTTGCTGTTACCCATTTTTGAATGGATTTTCCCATTCAAAATGCCACAGCATTAGCCTCCAGGCAAATCTGAAAGCCAAACAGTTGTATGGGGTTGTTTTGACAAGCTACCACACGTCTTAAGTAAATAGTAAAGCCTTTATTTTTTGTGTTAAGAACAGTATTTTGAAAATAAAACCTATCTGCCCATGCTTTACAACCTTTTAAATCTGTAATATTTATTATATACAGTCGTTTATGATACATGTTGATTGTCTTGAAATTTCTTTAACGATGTTTTTTTAAAGTATGCAACAGTCAGCCAGGGGAGGATAAAGGTACATTATAAAACACACATTAATACATTTAATAAATATATATTATCTATCAAAAACGAGCCTTAGCTCTTTATCAATTAATAAGAAGCACCTGCTGAGAACTCCTGTAAGCTGGTATAATCATTGCATCATTGGATTACAAAAGCCACAATGCTCCCTTCTGGTTCAGGGTTCAGCTCGGCCTTGCCTAACCAGGAAGACCACCCCCGCTTCGCCCATGTTTCCTGGACCCTGACAGAAACTGTGCTAAAACAACGGATCCCCAGCTTGCAACAACCAAATCTGCAACCCTTGAGACACACAGAGCTTCCCAATCTGTCATTCCCTCTCTCCCTCCCTGCTTCCATCTCCAGGGGAGGAATCCAGCACAGAATAACCATTTCCTATTAAAGGGGAGAAAGAGTGGCTGTTAGAGTCCCAAAGTGATTTTGGTAACTGGATCTGGAAAGAGTTGTGCTTACAATGAGGTGTTTTGATCACAGAAGCTCTCCTTCCTGGTCATTCTCCCCCAACATCTTGTTTACAACAGATCTGAAACAGCAGTGCCATTTAATTTTGTATTTAAACTTCACTCAGTGCGGGCGGGGGCTGCCACAGTCTCTTGGCAAAGATGTCTCTTCTACCCTTCAGGTGAAGTCCTTAGAAAGAGAACAGTTTACTGCCCTCCCCCTCACTCCCTGCCTCCCACCCACCTCCGCTGGGAGAGCACTCAGCTCCCTCTTGACCTTAAAGCCAAAATAAAACCCAGAAGCGCAAAAAACTATCAGAAACTTGAAAATAAAAAGGTCTCATTAAGTGAGGTTTCCTGTGGCTCAGAGCCAGTTCTATTTTTGCGGTGGTGAAACATTGCTTTCCGCTTGCAGCCATCTTTGCTGTGTTCACCATGCACGCTTAGACTACCAAGAACTTAGAGCATGATCGTGTGAGTTCTCCGCTCTGCAAGGGGAGGGGGGTGCTCTTGCAGCCTGAGTCCCTGATGGGATCAGAGAGCTCCGAAGGACTCCAGGGAGCGGGGGTGAGCCACTGTTTCCTGGCACGAGAACGTGTAACGCGGTCGCTTTTCACCGGACTGGACCGAGGTGTTCGGAGATTTCTGTGATTTTCAGAATTCTAGGTCCACATGCATCCGCCCACACCCCCAACCCCAGCCCAGGTCTTAGCTTCCCCCCACCCCCCCAACCCCAGTACTCCCCGTGGTAGTCCCCCTGGGGGCCTTCCTGGCACAGAGGTCTGGATCTGACTTCCCCAGGTCGGGTATGCCCCGTCTTCCCCATGCTGGCAACACGTGGAAATGGGCTACCTTGGAGGAGGGTCACAAGGGGGCCAGATTGGCCTCCCTACTCGGGTGTTCTGCAAGGATGGGGACAGGGGAGGGCGAGGATGGGACACAGCAGACTAGGGCCTCAAGAAAAATCAGAAGGTTTATTAAAACATACTCAGCTCAGACATATTGGCTTTTGAAGAGGTCAGTTTCCCCCCAAACACTAACCTTTTTCATTTTCTGTGAAGGTTAAAGGCTTATGGGTTGTTTTATAGAGAAAAAAAAAAAAAGCAATACAGTGACTAGAGTATATGCAAAAAGACCCACCCTCATTTATACATTCCGTGCCGTCAGGTTAAAACTCTTTGCTTTGAATCATTGCCTGCGATTATGCTGGCCAAACAGTGCAGAGAACATGGGGCTTTTAATGGCCGAGATGTCTGAAATGCCAAATAAAGGAATGACTTGCTTAGGACAGATGGAAACCATGACAGAAACAATGGCTTGGAAGAGAACCATTTTCATGGAACTTGCAGAAAACTGAGACAAAAATGTCCCTCAGGCCCTCCCAAAGCAGCAAGAAACCCTCATGTGCTCCACCCAACCCTGGAGCTTTCACTACGTCCGCAGAGAAGTCCCAAGAACTCACTGCTTGCTAGGCAGCCGGCATGGCCTCTCCACCCGGGGGTACCCCTGCCGCGTGACAGCATTGCGGAAAATCCACCCCGGCATCTGCCCCCTGGCCAAGCCACGGGGCTTTGGGCTGGTGGCTTCATGTGAGCTTTTGAAATGGACGTGGTGGGAGAGATGGGGAAGGGCTGGAGGAACACTCACGAGGTGGGAAGATGGAGGGGTGATCAGGGGAGCGACGGCTGCTCCAGTCGGAAACTGCCCCTTGGAGGCAGGCAGGCTTGCTTCCTGGCAGTGACGCCAGAGCATGTGGCCCAGAGAAGGAACAAAGCTGGGTGCTCCTTTCTAAGTGTGACGGTCCCTTCAACTCCCAGACTGCCTTCTCTTCTTTGGCACAGGCCAGGCTTCCTCCACCACTGCTCATAAAGCTCTTTCCCGGATGCAGTTGGGCTGGGCCTCGGAATCATACCCACAATCTCCTCCACTGCTCCTGACCCCCCTGAAATGTGAAAACCCACAGGCAGGCCAGTGGGGAAGCCCCTATTCGCCTTCCTCAGTGAAATGACTGTCTCCAAGAGGCCACCTGGGGTCCAGCACTTGCTGGCAAGGGGCGATGGTGTGGGGCTGTCTGTGCTCAGCCAACACCGGCCTGGCCTGCTGGCTATGAAAGCGGTTCTGCTCTTACCCCCAGAGGATGAAACAGTCTTCCCAGCCACATTTTCGAGTAAGCCTAATCCTATTTGCAATTAGCTTTGCTTTAGTTTGCAGGGTTTGAGGTTGGTTTGGTATTACGTGTGTGTGTGTGTGTGTGTGTGTGGCAGGGGCGGGGAGGGCAGTTGGTGTTAGCTTTTCAGTTCAGCAGTGTTCACATTTACACGAAATCCTCCTGTCTAGGATTTCCAAATCTCCTGGCTGCGAGGCGGCCTTGTTCAGCTACTGTTACTGATTTCTCCCTCAAGAAAGACACGACCAGGGAATAAAATCGGTAAGAGAGACTCTTATTCTCTGGAACTTAAAGTCTTTCACCAGAGGTGTCTTCCAGTGTAACTTGGCGGAGCGGTTGGGATCTGGAAATAGGAATAACACACTAAGAACTCAGCTTTGCATAGTCAATGTCAGAAACCCATTTGTTAGCAATGTACCAAAGCTAAGTTAGCTTGCCTTTTCCTAAAGGGCTGAATAACTCCCAAGAAAAGCAGCAACCACTGTGTGTTAGCTACAATACTCTGCTCCTGGGAAGGCTGTCTGCCCCTCTTCTATAATCGCGCACCCGAACAAATGTTTCCTTACCCAGAACCCACATCACTTTCTAAGTCCAGGGTGTTTTTATGTACATTGGCCTTGACTGGACACAGAGGGCTTAAGAATGACTGGTGGGGCTAAATTTATTAAAACCCACAGGTCAAATGCTTGAAATTCAGGCTTTTCTTGGTACCCAGTGACAAACAGGCCCACGGATGGCTGGTGCTCTTCATGAATGCAACCCGCAAGCCTATTGCTTTGAGCCCCTCCCATCCCAGTGCAAATGATGCCTCTCATACCAGTCAAAGGCCAGGAAAACCCAAGTTTCCTCTAGAGATCAAAGACCATCTCTGACTCACATTGAAAATAAAAAGTTATGGAATTGGCACATGATATAGAGAATGGAAATCCAGTTTACACGTGTAAACTGGTTCATGTGTTGTTTGTAAAAGAAGCATGTAGCTATGTTTGAAAATTAAATGTGGGAATGAGAGTGCAATTTTGGATCGCTAGAGAAACAAAATGATGTAATTCCACGGAGGCAAAATGTAAATGATGACAATTCTGCTGAAGGTCTGTTTGGCATCAGATAGTATCTATTTTTGTGTTTGTGGGAGAGAAATGATAATCATTTCAATTTCTTAAATCTTTTAAGGAGTGGGGAGGGCGGGGGAACCTGGTACCCAGCTGGGGCATGAGGCAGGAGGCTCATCTAGGTTGGATGCCAGCAAAATCTGCCAGGGTTTTGTAACTCGGGGCTTTTCCTAAAAGTCACTTCCCAAGGAGAATGTGGGGGGGGGCACCTCCTGTACGATGAAAAGAAGAGAATTCACTGGGTACGAGAGCCCCAAGAAACAGGGACTCATTCAAATGATCTACAGATGGTCAGCTAACTACAGGGAGATGTCTCATGCATGGAGAAAGGGGGCGAGAGGAAGGAAGAGAAACGGAAACACTGCATGCATCCTAGCTGCAAGAGGTGTCGACGTGAGCTGCTCTCTTTGCAGCCCCGTGAGCAGCCTCCACAGAGTGGTGTGTCCCTGTCGAAGCTGCCCCCCAGTGCTGACCACTCCAAGGCTTCCTGCCAGAACATCACCTCTTGATACTTACAGTCCCCCCGTTGAGCACAACAGCCATCTCAGTTGGCTGATACACGTTGCTTCTGAACGGAGCGCTGGGTCTGTTTCCCAAGCTGCCATTGCGAAATCCTGCAGTTCGGAGAGCTGAGGAAGGGAAAGGCAACACCACAAAAAAAAAAAAAAGACACAGTTTTGAATTTTGTTTTCTTCTTCTGCCTCAACACCATGCTCCCGCCACCCGCCCCCCCCCCCCCCCCCCCCCCCTCCCTGCTCCTCCCCTTTGTCACAAGCCAGATTCAAAACAAGAGTCACAAAGGCGCTTTGTTCTCGGGTTCTCTTGGAGCCTGACCCATCTCAGTGGGGTTGGGGAGTCTGCAGAATCCAGGGCGCAGGCAGCTCTCGGGGAGGGCACCCAGGGTGGAGCCCCCCCCTGCACCCCCAGAGGGTCATGGGTGACAAAGGCAGCGCCTGCATCTCTCACAAGGTCTCTTCTGACAAAAGACCTGCTCACTGCTGAGTGCCATCCATGTCAAGTTCAACGCCATACTGTGCAACATGGTTTCTGGACACACACAGAGGTGGGCAAGCCTGAGGTGCTGGACCACAGGTACATGGTAGAGGTTGGACATCTTCCTGGGAAAGTGACGCGGGAGAGGACGGAGGGGCCCCAGGCGTGTGGCTGGGGTCATTTCTGGACAGGAAAAAAGGGAGATCTGAAGCAAAGGCAGCAAAATCGGTCTGCTCTTTTTACCTCTGAAAGGTAAATGATGTTTCTTATTTGCAGTGCATTTTTACACATCTAAATTTCCTCTTTTGGTGAAGAAAAATCAAATGACACAAAAAGACTTGGATGAACCATGAATGTGTTCAGTGGGCTATAAAATCTCACATTATATGATTCCAACTATAATATTCTGCAAAAGGGTAAACTGTAGAGGCAGTGAGAAGATTAGTGATTGGCAGGGGTTTGGGGGGTGTACAGGGCATTTTTAGGGCATTGGAATTACTCTGGGTGATATTGTAACAGTGGAGACATGACCTCATGGATTTGTCCAAGCCCACAGAACTGTACAGAGTGACCTCTAGAAAGCAAATTATGGACTTGAGTTAACAATAATGTATCAATATTGATTCATCCATTGCGACAAATGTAACACCAATGCAAGTTGTTAATAACAGGGAAAACCAGGGGGGATGGGCAGGTGGGAACTCCATGTAGTTCCTGTTAAAATTTTTCTGTACCTAAAACTGCTCTAAAAATAGTCTATTAAAAGATAACAGAGAAAGAAGCAGCACTATAAAAAAATCAAAACAAAAGTCTGTCTCAATTGTGAGCTGTCGCCTTCATTATCTTCCTTCTCACTGAAGACACTTATCTCACTTTGCTAAGAAAACCCTCAATTAAAGTCCTCCCTGAAGAGAGTCATTTTTTTTTTTTTTTTCTGACTAAAAAGCAGTAAGAGGACTTGGGATTTTTACCAATTAAATTACTTGGGGAAGGGACCAAAATCACCTTGATAGTACAGTTAACCTTCACAGAGTGCCAACCAAGAGCCAGGGCTGGTTATAAAAAATGCTTTATATGTATTATCTCATTTCATTTTCATAGCATAGTAGGTTCTTTTATTATTTCCATTTTACATGGGGCACAGAGTGATTAGGACACTTGCCTGAGGTCACACAGCTGGTAAGAACCAGCATCTGAATCCAAGTAGACAGACTCGGTTTCCTTGACCATCACACTATTTGGGGTCCAAATATGATGTTTTTAACGACTACACTTGGTTACTTAGGAGCAATTTGAATTAAGTGACATTTGGGGCAGATCAGCCCAGACTGAACCAAGAAGATACAGGCAGAGTGCAGAACGCATGTTCTAAAAGACTTGTGAAAACCTCTTTGCTTTAGCACCTTCCAGCCTTCAGTAGCTCCCACGCGCATACTGACAAGGAGCTGCCCTTCCCGGGGAGCTGAGAAGAGGCGACAGGGACCAGGGGACAGACGATCCCCGGACCCTCACTCTCACCAGTCCCAATTCCGAGCAGAGACCTCCTCGAAGAGAGGGAAAACCCAACTGCACGCTTTCCTCATAAAGCAGAGGCTGGCCAGCTGCAGTGGGGGAATGCGGCTCTAACATTCTCTTCAAAGAAACAAAGGTCAACCGGATCAGTGGGTGCCCTGGCCCAGCGACCCCTCTGGGTAGTAGTTATTTGGAGTGGCTCTCCTCTGGTAAACATCCCTCCCATATTCTGGGTCCCTGAGTACTGGCTACAACAGACAGCATCCTCAGGCCTTGAGGTGGGCATGTGACTTAGGCCTGGTCAATCAGGTCCAGTCAGAGCTAACGCTGGGATTTTATACTCAAGCATCCTGGGAAACGTTCCTTTTCTCTAGTAGGACTCTGTGTGAGTCCAGAGCTGCTGTGATTCTAACAGAGCCAAGAGATGGAGAGAGACTGAATCTTGGCATCACTTGAACCTCCTGGTTTTTTCCTTTTTTGAGGCTTGTTCCCCATTCCTTTGTTTTTTTTTTTTTTTTTTTCTTTAATTTGTTTCGGTTGGTTTTTTTTTTTTATTAACTTGCATCTTCAAGGATCCCAACTGACAGCCCACTCTGACCCAGAGGTGAGCCCTCTGAAAGGCAAGCAGGGCTCACCCGCATGGAGGTCCCAAGAGGAATCTAAGAGCGTAGGCTAAATGCCAGCCCTCTCCTGTAGACACTACAAGTGAGGCAAGACTGGGTCCTGCCCCCAAAGCTGACATAGGGCCTCCCACTGGGCAGTGAAGGGGCACAGAGTTTAAATCGCCCTTGGCCTGACGAGATCCGAAAGCCCAAATCCCCTCACGGAGGAAAGAACACTTTTCCTTCCTGCTCCTTTGGAAGGTGAACATTTCATGCGCCTTGTTAGCGCTTTCCAAAATGTGATCTGAAGTGCTATATCCTTTAGAGTATTTTCATCTTCTGTCACATACCTCATGCCCTGTTGATGCTTATTAAGAAACAGCAGGCTGCTGAAGTCCTACATACCTGGGGTCCCACTGGGGGAAGCAAGCAAGGCAGCAGGGGCTGAGCCGCAGGCCAACCTGGGGCATACCCCTCCCGTCTCTTGACCCCAGGGCTGGACTCTCAAGGGTAGACAGCCTGAAAGGCTGGCTGGTTAAAATGCAGGAGAAACAGCGCCCGCTGTGGCTCCCGGGTAAGGTCCTGTGTAGGGCCTGGTTCCCTAAAATACAGCTGGCTGAGGTCAGACCAAAGATGACAATAGCTGTTCTCACAATGGCCAGGAAGGGTGCCCAGGCATTCCCCAGCCAGCAAAGTAGGATTTCTAGAACAAAGGCAATCCTAGCCAGGATGACTATTCATTCTCTCTCTGTGAGCCTTCCGAGGGAATTGACCTTGCCTGGTGCCCACGTGAGTTTTGGTGGACACACATTTGGGAGAATGCAAAAAACAGGGCTATTAAAAAAAAGTCTGACAATATCCAAGGTTGGTGAAGAAGTAGGGATGGGGGCTCTCAAACAATTATTCAGGGAAGACTAAATCAGCCCACCTTTCTGTGGGGTGGCATCTGGCAGTATGTATCAGGATTGAAAGGTGCAGATTCTGATGCATGTCTAGGAATTTTTTTGCAAGGAGGTAATTGATCAAGGACACAAAGATGAATGGATAAGAATGGTCTCTGCGGCATAACTTGCATGGAAAGCCAGAAACAAGCAAAGTATTCACCACCTAAGATCAGAAATAGCTCAGTTACTAAATCATTTGCCTACGGTGCAGGAGACCCGGGTTCAATTGCTGGGTTGGGAAGATCCCCTGGAGGAGGAAATGGCAACCCACTCCAGTATGCTTGCCTGGAGAATCCCAGAGACAGAGGAGCCTGACAGGCTACAGCCCACGGGACTGCAAGAGTTGGACATGACTTAGCAACTAAACCACCACCAAGAACAGGAAAACAAATTGTGGTGCCTCCTGGAAAGCTCTGTCTCGTGAAAAGGACAGCTCCGCAGTTGTTGACCTGGAAAGGCCTCCCTCCACGATCCACTGTCAATTTAAGCAAGCACGTTGCAGACAGCCTCTTAGACAACCAGTGCTTTCAACCTGGTTACATCTTAGAAGTACTTGGAGGGCCTAAAATACTTGAGCCCAAATAGACTTACTCAATCAGATTGAGGAGGCAGGCGCTGCTAATTTGTTTAAAGCTGCCCAAGAGACTCTAATGTGCAGACAAGTTAAGAGCTGCTCTGCTGGATTGGTGTGTGTGGGTGTGGGTGTGTGTGTGCGTGCGCGCGCAAGGTGGGGGTACTGTGTCTGGCTAGACAGGCGCAAACAGTCAGCAATAGTTGCCTTTGGGCAATGGGATTCTGAGCAATTTTTATTATTTTCACTTGCTGAACTCCTGATTATTGTTGATCTTCTGTCATCAGAAAGGAATAAAAAGGTTATTTTTGCTTTGGAAAAGAAAGAGGGGAATGAGGGACAATGTCCTTGGCTCTGGAACCCAGAGTATGAAACAGGTGGGTGTGTGGGCACCTCTGAAGCCCCATTACCCTCTGTGCCAGTCCAGGCACTGCTGGTTCTGACGTGGGTCCCAAATCGCTTTGATCTCTGGATCTTACATGGGTATGACATAGTGACTGCATTTTCACAAGAAAGGATGCAGGGCATTCAGAAAACCAACCTCCCCTCTCTCTGCTCCACTGTGAGCCTGAACAAGTTGCCGGACATTCCTAGACTCAGTTTCCTGCTCTGTAAAATGGGACTGATAATCCCTGTCTTCTCAAGGCACAGAGTTGCTCTGGCACACCTGTGAGATGAGCGACGCTGAAGAGAAGTTCTGTGGCAGAGTGGTCAGAGTGGGCTCTGGAGCCAGGCTGCCTGGGTTCAAACCCTGGCTCTGCCTCTTAGGCAAATTGTTCAGCCCCTCCATGCCTCAGTTTCTTGTCTGCTCAATGGACCTCACTGAGTTATTGCAGGCATTAAATGAGATTAGTTGTTAAAATGCTCAGAATGGTACCTGTCCATCATAAGTACCCAGTAAAGGTTAGCCATCCTTCACTTTTGATGCCCCTAATACTTGTAGGTAGTTCTAGCACCCTGCTCATTCTTGCACTGCAGGTGAACTAGACCATCAGGTTCAACAGCACTGATTCTTAACCTTCTAGGGATCACAAATGGCTTTGAGAATTTGACTAGACTAATTGGGCTAGACTAATTGACTAGACTAATTTGACTAGACTGGGCAATTAGCAATAGACTAATTGCCCAGTGAATGTATAAAGCTCTACATCCATTTCAGGAGTTCCTGTTACCACTAAAGTCCAAGGGGTAGTTTGTGAGTGTCAGATAAAGAGGATCCTATTCCAGGAGAGGCCAGGGAAGAGGTGGCTCCACCAGGACCCCAAGAACTGGTCAGGTGCCCGGCCTCTGCTTATCATATGCCCTGAGGGACCCTCTGGGCTCCCCGTAATGACCCCCATCTCCTGGCCACCTTGGGAGTCAGCCCCACCAGAGCTGTGGCTCATCCCTGTCAAATCTCTCGACAAACATAGGCTTGCTGGCCTGGGGCTTCCAGTAAGAAGGAAACTGCTCTGATAAAGGCCACCCCAGGACTGTGATTCTACCCATGGTGGGGGGAGGGGGAGTGAGGGGGGGTGGGTTTGTCATTCTCCTGGGGGTCTGACCAGGAGCAGGGTGCAGAGGCAGCTGGGCCCCTCCTGGTGGGAGGAGGCCTGCGGGTGGCCTTGGAGGACCTGGGGGCTTGATGTGTTTCCCCTGGCCTGTGGGGGTGGGCGGCTGTGCTGAACCCAAAAAGGCTGACTCTGCAGAACAGACCACCACCCAGGCACCTGGGTGAGCGTCACAGAAAAGGGGACTCAATCATTCGGAAGGGGCCACCTCCTATGTCACTGGGTAAGACCCAATCTCTTAGAGCCTCTACTTACTCCTCTGTGAGATGGGGATAACAACAGACCCTACCTCGTCAGCTGGAGGGATGGACTAATGAGATAATGCAGGTTAAGGAGTTAGGGTCTGGCATGTAGTTAGTGTTCAAAAAATGATGACTATACTAGGTTATTATTACTACTGCTGCTGCTACTGCTACTATTATTATTATAGCGCCTGAGGGATAGGTAACTTTCTCTTTAGGTAACTGAGAAAAGGCACTTTTAATTAATGTCAAGTACTGGGAACCCAGTCGACTTGCTTTAAGCAACAACTGTAAGAGGCACTTCTCCAGCATCTCTAGCAGGGGTACCTGGGGCCTGGGCCGTTTCTTCTTGGCTCACCTGGGGGATCCCACCGCAGTAGTGGCACACAACCTGGGTTTCACACAAACCTGCCGAATCTCTGCTTTTCTGTTGGCAGAGCTAGTAGAACTTGGTTAGCCCATTTATGGGAGCCCTGGGGGACATTCATGGCAGCGGGAGATAGGAGTTGATGGGCAGATGCCACAGCCTCCTGTCCTCCAAGGATCAATTCTGAGGCTCGTTCTACACGTGTCCCTGGCAGGAATGAGCCCCAGCTGCCCAAGGTGGTAACCAGCTCTTGACGCTCTTGTTCTGGCGTTTCTGCCTTCCCAGTCTCATTCTCCCTGGCAGGGGTGACCTTCTAAGTAAACTACCTGCAGCAAGTCTCAGGCTCTGCTTTCAGGGGAACCCAACCACGTACACATTCAACAAGCCAGGGGCCGTGGGGGCCCCTCGATACCTCAGGACTCACAGCAGCTTTATGGGGCACACAAGTCTACATCTGGGAAGGGGCAGGATCCCAACCCGGACTCTGATTCCAGGGTCCAAGTTCATCCACTCCTGGAGACAGAGCTAGAGGCAAGAACATGAGCATTGCCTCTCAACATCCCCTGCATCCAGCTAGCACACGGGCTGCAAATTCAAACACTTCCAGGAAGCAGGCAGTTGATGTTGATATGCTATAGTGGTTGGGACAGGGAGCCACGGGGAGTGTGAAAAGTGAAAGTCACTCAGTCATGTCCGATTCTTTGCAACCCCGTGTACTATACAGTCCATGGAATTCTCCAGGCCAGAATACTGGAGTGGGTAGCTGTGCTCTCAGGTCTCCTGCATTGCGGGCAGCTTCTTTACCAGCTGAGCCTCCAGGGAAGCCCAAGCGGAGTGTAGTGAAGAGAAAATGCATGCCCACCTAAAAGGCCACCACCACCTGGGAGAGTAAGAGACAGGGCCTTCCAGCCAGCTGCAGACAATGGTGCCAGGTGGGAACGGCAGCCCAGTATTGCCAGATCCAACTTTTCAAAAAAGGCCAGGAACCTGACTTTTTACATTAAATTAGTTGAGAGTGCTAATTAAGTCTCTTCCCAGGTGGCTCAGTGGTAAAGAATCTGCCTGCCAACGCAGGAGACACAGGAGACGCGGGTTTGATCCCTGGCTTGGGAAGATGCCCTGGAGAAGGAAATACCCACTCCAGTATTCTTGCCTGCAGAATCCCATGGACAGAGGAACTTGGAGGGCTACAGTCCATGAGGTTGCGAAGAGTCAGATACAACTGAACACGCATGCAGGCATGCATGCTAAATAAATTGATAATGCTGAATCTCTGGGGGCCAGTTTCAGCACAGGGCTCAATGTTTGTGGGCTCTGATCTGCCAGGACTACCCCCAGGACCTCTGATCCCCAGTGGAGGAAAAGGAGCTCTTTTGGGTGGAATAGCCTAACTCAGCGGGACAGTGCCCCCTTTACCTGCATTGTGTTCATCCATTGAGAAGGCTTTGTTCTCCATGTAGGTCCGCGGCAGCTGCACATCCTCCTCAAACGCCGTCTCCCGCATCCTTGGCTGTGACGTGTCGAAGTAGTTGGGCGTGTTTTCCTGCGGGGCCGGCAGAATGGTGCAGTGGATCTCCGGGATGGCGTGGAAGATGACAAAGACCCAGCCACTGGCCACCAGCGTGATGGCCAAGGTGGGGTCGCCCCAGGCATCTCCCTGTCGTAGCTCGGCATTGCCAAAGAGGTACATGGTCATCCAAGCCACCCAGATGAGCACGGACAGGAAGGCCGTGACCAGGATGCAGACTCCGTTCTGCTTCCACTTCTTGAACTTGCCACACAGCGAGAAAAAGGCCAGCCCCAGGGTGGCCACCAGCAGTACCATGTCGTAGATGAGGGCCATCGCGAAGTCCATGGGCTCATAGGCACAGGCTGGCTTCGCATCTCGGAGCACGGTCAGCACCAGCCACTCGATGGCGATGATGACCTGCACCAGCATCAGGCACAGGGCCATGCCCAGCAGCTGCCAGCCTGAGGGGCTCTTGCCGTGGCGCACCAGCCTTCTCACTCGCCACGCCTGGCTCAGCAGGCAGGAAAAGCAGAGTGCAAAGAGGACGCCCCAGAGGAACCGGCGCACCGAGCAGATGGTCTCATCCTCCCGAATGATAAAGGCGAAGGTCAGCCCAAAGAGGCCCAGGGTCCCCAGGAGGAAGAGGAAGTGGAGGCCCACGGGGTCCTTTTTCTCCTTGTCCTTGATGAATGGCAGCCGCACCAGCAGGATGAGCATCAGGAGCAGCGTGATCAGGGCGCCCGCCCCGGCCACCGCCTCCACCACGATGCCCCAGATGGTGTCCAGGTCGCACAGGGACACGTACTGAGGGAGAAGGTCCAGCCCGCAGCCCCGGGACGTGCTGGCGTTCTCAGAGGCCCCGGAGGCAATCACGAAGAGCAGGAGGAAGGCGAGCGCCTGGCGGGTTCTCATCTTTCTCTCTGATGCCACCACGAAGGTTCCAGAAAAGTTGGGGAGAGAAGACCAATTCATGATGAGACTTCCACTCTCCTGACTTCTTTAAGGAGACCCTACGTCCCTTCAAACCCACCACCAGCCCCTTTCTGCAGGCAGCACAGTCTGGCACCGGGAATGGGTGAGGATTTTGGTCCCCATTTGCCCCCTTGGCTGGACTTGGTGAACAACCATGAACCGTCAGCGCTAGCGGCTGGAGGAGAGGCTCCCTTTCTCTGAATACCCTGTCCTAGTCTTTTAGTGTGAGGCCGTGTCTGACCTCTTTAAAAATAAGGGAGTAAAATGAGACTCGAAGAGATGCTCATGGGCTGAGCGCTCGCTGGGAGAAGGACAGGCCTTGTGGTTTTGGTCCTTCAGTGCTAACAGCTGACACTCCGCGATGACTCAGCCTCGGCCAGGCACCCGACACGGCGAGTCCTCACGCCGGTGACAACAGTCTTGAGGAGGCTGGGACACTTGCCCAAGGTCACACACTCAGCTCCTAGAAGCACTCCCTCTTAGAAGCTTCCCCGCATTTCAAACACAGTGTCAACTGTCTTCCTGGGTTCCACCCTTTCGCTCTCCCCTCACACATCCTACCCTTCTTGCAAAGATGTCCCAAGAATCCATCCTCTTGCTGCAGGGAGCCCCCCCTCTCCTGGAGAGGCCTGCAGGACGCCCCAGAGACGGGCTTATTAACCCGAATCTCCTCTTTCCTCCCTGCTTCCTGCACTTAGACCCCTCCCACCCCCGCTTTCATGGAAAACTGCTCCTCCGCACCCTGGTCTCAGCTCTCCTGTCTTCCACTCAGACCTTGGCCAAGGTCACACCCCCTCCCCTCCCCAGCATGTCTTGTCTATTTCCTAGGTCTAATCGCATCTGTCATCCTTTCGCCTGCTTACTTTGTTTCTCCGGTCCCTTCCTCCTCTCCTCCCTTCCTGTCGTTCTTCGCCACCAGCTGCAGGAGGACAGGGACACTGTCTTGTTCATCAGCACAAACCAGGGTTTCTCAGTCCCGGGATCACAGACACTCTGGGCCTGAGCCTCCCTTGTTTGGGGGTCTGTGCATTGCAGGAGGTGGGGCAGCACCCCTGGCCTCCACCACCTAGGTAACTGAAGCACACCCTCTCTCCTAGCAGTGACAACCCCAACATTTTTTAGACACTGCCAATGTTCCCTGGGGGATGGGAAATCACGGAATGAGCACCACTGGTGAAGAACCAGCACCAAGTAGATGCTTCTTAAATACTTCGGGAATGAGACTTCTCAACAGGGCTCTCCTCTACCCACTGCCACCAGGTCCTTACTTTTGCAGGGAACCTAGCCTTGGGAGAGCCCTGCCTGCCCAGCTCTGCTGTGCTGCGCTTCTGGGCATCTTAAGGCAGACTTAGCTCCGCCCACTGTGAGGCTGTAACCAGCCACCTCCCAGGCAGTTCAGCACATCCCTGGGGCTTTCTTAAGTAAATGCAGTATCGACCACTTCTCTCTCTCTCAGCTACTTGATGGGATATAGTGAGCAGCTCTGATCCTGCCTTGGCCGCAGGATAAATTATTGATGCCACAGAATGAGGAGGAGCCTGGTGCTACAGGGTGATCCTTCCTTTGCCCAGAGATGAGAGAAGGCAGGAACAGAGGGTATCTGACAAGAGATGCTCCTGAAACAAGCACCCAGACAGTGGTAATCAGGCCCCTGGTCCCACCACTCTTCATGCCGTGTCAGTCAGAAAAGTGCCACCTCAGCTATTTATGCCTTGTCTACACACCCCCTGTAAGTTACTTACTTAACTGACTCACCATGGTCTCTTGAAATTGACTCAGAAGAAAGCTCAACACATTGGAATACCTGTTGATGGAACTCATGTTGCATCCCCATTGCCATATCCCAATGTATCACCTTTGGAAAAAAATGCTGTCCTAGTCAGAGCTGTTTTATCACAAGAGCACACTTGGAATCAAAATTTAAGAACCAACAAGCCCAGAAAAAAAAATTTTAAAACTGGATATGCTGGAACAAAAAATGCCATTGGCCCCTGACACATTGTAGTGGATTTCCTCTAGACCTCTCATCAATGGCAAATGTGATTAAGAGACTTCTCAGCAAGTGACAACAGAACACACCCCAGGCAGCCTTTCTAGTTCATACAGCAGCCAACAATCCCCAGGGCAGCTGGGAGGAGACAGGGAAGAAGGTGCTTCTGGAGTCTTGACCATCAGCCCTCTCCTGAACTCTCCCCACACACCTCCAGGCCAGTGGTTCTCAACCAGGGTGATTGTGATTCCAGGGAACACTGGGCCACGTCTAGGGACAGTTCTGCTTGTCACAACTGGGGAGGGAAGTGCAACTGGCAGCCTCTAGCAGGTAGAGTCCAGGGAAGACGCTAAGCATCTCGTGCTGGAGAAGACTCTTGAGAGTCCCTTGGACAGCAAGGAGATCAAACCAGTCAATCCTAAAGGAAATCAACCCTGAATATTCATTGGAAGGACTGATGCTGAAGCCGAAGCTCCAATACTTTGGCTACCTGATTCGAAGAGCTGACTCATTGGAAAAGACCCTGATGCTGGGAAAGACTGAAGGCAGGAGGAGAAGGGGATGACAGAGAATGAGATGGTTGGGTAGCATCATTGACTCGATGGACATGAGTCTGAGCAAACTCTGGGAGTTGGTGAAGGACAGGGAAGCCTGGTGTGCTGCAGTCCATGCGGTCACAAAGAGCTGGACACGACTGAGTGACTGAACAACATGCCTGAGATGGCCCTCAACACTTGAGTGATCTGGCCCCACATGTCAGCAGTGCTGAGGATGAGAAAGCCTGGTTTATATTGAGAACAAACTTGATGAGGAAGAAGCCAGGAGAGACCAGCCAGGCCTCTCAGCCTCATGCCTGCACCCCAGGTCGTTTCCTTGCAGGATCTAGACTTTTTTTTAGCTGCCCTCACTCACTCTCTTGGAGGAATCTCCTCTCTTCAGACCTGCCTACAAGTTGGGACTTGGTCCTGCCGGTTCATCCCTCGGTTCTGCTGGCTCATTTCTCTTCCTGACTGACCTTCCAACAACAACAGGAAAACCAATGTGAAGAAAATAGAAAGATGGCAACCAAGCTTCTGAAATTGTGTGGGTTCTTCTGGCTGTGGTCCCCGTCTCTAGCTCCCACTCCTTTCCGACATGGGAAATAGATGCACTCTTGCTTTCTGCTTTCATTCCTGAGGGTGGAACCCTTTCCTTTCTCCAGTTCTTAAAAGAGCTCCTGATTTTCCTCTGGAGAGCCCCCTTCAGCCCCAGCTGTGAGGCCCAGACCCAGCCTGGCCAATTGAAGCATTTATCCCACCCTTTGGCCGCACTGATTGGCCAATCGAAGCATTTATCCCACCCTTTGGCCGCACTGATTGGCCAATCGAAGCATTTAGCCCACCCTTTGGCCGCACTGATTGGCTCAGGGACAGGCACTTGGCCTCAACCAGACCCATGAGAATCAGTCTTAGGATTTTTGCTAGAATTAACAGGAAAGAGGTTTTCTTCTGTTACTAGGGTTAATAAGCAGAAAGGAAGGCAAAAGGAGAAGAGGGTGGCAGAGGATGAGATGGTGGATGGCATCACCAAGAAAATAGACATGAACTTCAGCAAACTCTAGGAGACAGTGAGGGAGAGGGAGGCCTGGCGTGCTGCAGTCCATGGGGTCCCAAAGAATCGGACACAACCTAGCAACTGAACAACAACAACAAGCTAAAAGGATAGAAACCTGGAGCTGGAGAGGGCATATTTACCATCACAGGCAAGAACCTGCCTGAGAGGAAAGTTGGCCCACAGGAAATCATCACATGATGATCAGGAGTCCCAATACACTGCAAGGCTGGATTCAGTTATGCCTGAAGCCAGATACCCTGGTCTTTGCACCTCTAGCAGCCAATTAAGTTCTCTTTTTTGGATTAAGCCATTTTGAGATGGGTTTATGTAACCTGTTAACAAAGAAGTTCTATGATGTATCCCACATGATGTGGCCCTCTTCTTCCAGGAAGTCCTCGTTAATCAACATCTAGGCACCAGGGGCTTTGGAAGCATTCAGTTGTCCCAAGTAGGTCATTATCACTGAGAGGGATGCCCATGAGGTGACAGTCATTGTTCTGCAGAACTCTGTCCGCGATGATCAGAAGGAGGGCTATACCACCTCACAGAATGAAGCTGAGTCCAGCTCATCTAGGCTTTCTGGGGGATTCAGAATTGCCTTGTGGAGTTCTCTTACTGCCGCAGTGAACACAACGATGACTGTTAACTCTCACAGGCTTTACAATGCTCTAGGCCGTCTGCTATGCACTTCACATATATAACACCTAATCATCTGGACAATGACACCAGGAGGCAAGTGGTATCACTATCTGCATTTTACAGGAAATAAAACAGGCCAGTTGGCTTGTCCAAGCTAGGACAAGCTATACAGCTAGAAAGTCGTGGAATCAGGAGACAAACGTACTATTGTTACTGGGCTCTTCCGACAAACCAGGGCTCTGGAAATGTCACCGGGTGAGCCCTTCGCTAGCCAGTCTATCTAAATTAGGTTCCTTTTGCCCCTTTATGCTCTATACCAATACTCCTGATCTTTATGTTTGTAGCTCTATACCAATACTCCTGATCTTTATCTTTGTAGCATGTACCACAATTTTCAATTGTTTTTATTTTATTACTCTTTTGGTCTGCCTCCCCCATACCCAGGCTCCTTTTTGTTCTGCATCAATTCCCCAGCACCTGGCACACGGGCAGTGCTCACAGCCCAGTTGCTGAATGAATGAACTGATTAAATATGGTCTCCAACCCTCATGTCATAGGGCTGGAAGATGCTCTCATGGTCATCTTATAGAGGAGGGGACTGGGGCTTAAGTCAAAGTTTGATCCTCAGGCTGGCAACAGCAGCAGCATTGCTGGGAGCTTGTAAGAAATGCAGACTCTCCAGAGTGGGCCTGGCCACCTGTGTTTCCACAGCCCTCCAATAAGCTCCAGGTGTGCTCAGATGCTTGCGTGCACTGAGGTTTGAGAAGCACGAACATATACAGCTGCAGAGCCAGAACTGTGGCCCTACACCTTCTGCTTCATTACCGCTGCCCCAGACCCTACGCAGGCTCCATCGCACCGACTGTCAGGTAAGCCCCATCTAGCCCCATCCTCCACCTGAGGCCTCCCCCTGCCAGGAAGGGAGCTCTCCAGGATCCCCAAACTGCACAAAACCTGATTAGAGGTTTGGAGTCAGCCCCAGGGCAAGGCTGACTGGGGCGGGATGAATATATGGCAACAAAATCCATGGGATGTAGGCATGCAGCTCCTCAAAAGGGGTAATGAATAAAGTGACGAATGTGCAAGACTCGGCTCACATACTAATTACTTTGCTGCCGGCCAGGCTCCCAGAAATGTGACTCATTCAGATGCTCTTAAATACACTGCGTTGCACACGCACGCGCACACACGCTCTCTCTCCCCACAGAGGGGCCAGAAGCTGCCGGCAGGTGGTGGAGCAGCACGCACCATTTCTCACAAGCTGGGGCCTGCAGAGGCTGGAAAGAATGCAGACAAGATTCCTTGTGTGAGGACAGGGCTGCTGCCTGCCTGCAGGCCACAAGCAGGGCTGGTTCTCCCAGCCTTGATCCTCACCAAGCAGCATGAACTTTGGGTTTCCGATTCCGCCTCTGGCATTTGCTAGAACCTTGTGACCTGGGGCAGCAGACTTAACCTTACTTGCCTCGGTTTCTTCCTCTACAAAATGGGAGTGATAACACCCATCTTGCGGGGTTCTTGTAAGGATTAAAATAATAAGTAGGGTTTAGGACTATAGTTAACATGGGGTAAGCACTATATAAAGTGTCTGTTAAATAAATAACAGACTGGCAAATGCCCTGAGGTTATGAACTCTTCTGACTTTCCTTTTCCAGGAGGGGCAGTTGCCATGGAGATGGGACTCAAATAGGCTTACCCAAGTGTTGGTTCACCACTGGTTTCCTGCCTCCACCATCACACACCGAGAAAAGTCCCTGAGGGGGTGTGAAGGGGAGAAGCCTTTGGGGTGGTCTACCTTCAGTCCAGTTCAGTCGCTCAGTCATGTCCGACTCTTTGTGACACCATGGACTGCAGCACGCCAGGCCTCTCTGTCCATCACCAACTCCCGGAGCCTACTCAAACGCATGTGGTCTACCTTGGAAACTCTCAAACTCTCCTGATTTCCCGCAGCAGGTGCTCTAAATGGCGGCTTGACTGCAACGGTGGTTTTCCAGAGGGGAACCAGTGCTGGAGGACCCGAGGCCAGTCTGCATGCCCTAAAACCGGGTGCCCCTGCTGAGAAGTCAGAAGCAGACACCCAGAAACCAGACACCAGCCCTTCTGGGAACCAGCGTCCTCACCTTCCCACCCACCCAGACAACAGGAGATACAAGACGTACAAAACTGCTCTGGAACTTGCCATTCTGACCTGCTTCCCCTTGGCTACTGCCAGGAGAGGCACCTTTAACCCACTTTCTCTAAAGAAGTGGGGAGGAGGCACTGGAGCATGGACGGGAAAGAAAACCCAAGCGGGTCTGGAGGGCCTTCCCTAGCCCTGGGCATGTCTAAAATACCATTGAATACCTGGCACAGGATTTACACTCCCATCCGTGTCCTCAAGGGTGGAAGACCTCAACTGGAGGAAGTCAGACAGAACTGAGTGACATAGGGCATTACTTAAGCTCTCTGACCTCCAGTCTTTTCCTCTGTTAAACAAAGATAGTAATAATGCCGCTTTCTCAAAGCTGACGTGAAACGTACTTAGAAAGTACTCAGCCCGGTGCCTGGCAGACAGGGAGCGCTGGGTCCTGATTTGTTACAAAAACAATGACAATTCTCAGTGTCCTGTTGGGAATAGGAAGTGGTATTTCGACTTGGCCAGTCTTCCTGGAAGTGACGGGATGAGCTGGGACTAGAACCCGCCGCTCAGGACTCCTGACCTCAAGGCCGCTGCACCCCGGTTGGATTCCCCCATGTTCGGAGGGCCAGGATGAGGCTGCGGAGCCTATCTCCCCACGCACCCCAGCACCACACCCTGTCCCTGCCCACTCCCCTTGGAGCTGCTGGTGCATTTCCTGCTCCTAAAGGGTTAAACTGTTACAAGGTTTCCTGACACTAAAACTCTTTCCCAGACCTGCAGTCTTACCCTTTGATATCTTTTCCAAGTTATACCGTCTCATAATCTTTAGTTCCCAGCACCATCCAGACCACCAGACTATCTGGGGGCCCTTGAATTTAATAACCCTCACACGTTAGTAAACAGGGTTGTCAGAACACAGGCTCCGTGATCCATGAATATGCAAAGCAGCTCCAATCCTGTAAATAAAAGCAATCATTTAAATGCAAATTGCATCCTTGGCTGCCCGTTCCAGGGTGGATGGTTCCTCTCAGGCTGTAATTCCGAGAAGAAAATGTGACTAACTCAGAAGCCCCAGGAAGCTCTTGCGTGGAAGTGCTTATGGAGCCGTGGGCGCTGGGTGGGGGCTGCTTAGGGTGGACAGAAACTGGGAGAAGTGGGTTCTAAAACCTGACCCATCCCTGGTGTAGGCTTATTCAAAGCAGTTCCCACAGGTCCGCTTCGGAGGCTAACGACGCCTCGCCATCCCCAGAGTCAGAATGAAAGGGGAGCTGCTTTCCCTCTCCTTGTGGAGGTCAGGGGAGCTCTTAAAAATCAGATCTCGTGGCTTTCCACGCCAAACCCTCCCTGCAAGGATTCATTTAGGAGAATAAAACCTAAGTTCCTTTCCATGGCCTCCCAAATCATGGTTTGGCTGGTCCCTGCCATCTCCTTTCAGACCCCCACTCTCAACATCTGCCTACGAGCTCCAGCCACAATGGCCTTTGTTCAGTTTCTCTAAGCTCATTCCCACCTCCCAGCCTTTGCACTCACAGTGCCCTCTGCCTGGTTCAGTCTTTCCCCAACATCTGTCAGTGGCGGGGGAGGCGGGGGGCGGCCCTATCTTGCAAAGCTCCACTAAAATGTCACTGCGCAGAACTCTTGTCACTTTATTTTACATCATCCTGCTTTATTTTCCTGGCAGCACTTATCCCAATTGGAAGTTCTATCCACTTACTATTTATTTACTTATTTAGTGTTCGCCCAACTCCCCAGTGCTCTGAGAGCAGGGGCTTATCTGCCAGTTGTGTAGCTGGCACATTTACTGAAATAATACATTAACCAATCAAGATTTTAAGCTTCTCTCTCTATCAAGACTGCTTGTCTCGCTGCCTGTGCCCTAAATGGCGACTCCTTCCCACTTCCATTTTTCCTTTCCCAACTCAGTTGACCACTTTTCAGACAGAGCAGGAACAGATAGGAAACAGTTCACTCCACAGTCCAGACACAAAACTGGCCGGGTGGAGGGCTCCCAACCAACAGACACCGATTTGCATTCTATTTACATCCTATTTGCATGCAGTTTAACTCAAAGTCTTGAGTCCTCCAGAAAGCCTCCATCCCTGGGGAAACTTATGAATCAAGGTTACTCGGCAGAAGTTCCAAAGCTTTTGTGCCAAGCCCCTCCCCCACTTTTCGCCTCTTTGCGAGGACCCCCAGTTCCTCCTGGGCTCTGCTCAGGTCCCCCCCACCCCCCATACTGGCGCAGTTGGGCAGCCAATGTGGCGCGTGGCCCGGGGCCCCAGGCGGGGACGCTGCTGCCCGCCACACTCCAGGGGCCTTTGTCCGCGCTCCAAGGAGCCGCCCCCTTAGCGAACTGGGGACAAGTTGCGTTGGGGGGTGAGCGGGGGGCGATTGGCTAGGCCTGGGAGTGACTTAGCCGGGGAATGAACCCATGGGCTGCGCTGGAGCCGTCCTCGGTGGCAACGGTACCCGCTCCCTGGCTAGTTAACCAGCCCTCCGGCCGAGGCGGGTGCGGGCGGTAGGGGTACCGGGATGCTTCGGACTGAAAGCCTGTGTCCTCCAAAGGGTGGGGACGCAGCACAGGGCTGATCATCGCCTCTAGTCTGGCCGGAACTGAACCCCCGCCATTGTATGCAGCCGCCCCTCACTTGTACCCCAGCTCCAGGTCCCAGCTCTGCCTCTTTGCCCCCGCAGTGTCCCCTCCTTGTCGGTAGCGCGTAGCCGCGGCCGGCTGAGAGCTTGACCCCCAGTCCCTACGGCAGGTGCGGCAGCTCACCTCCAAAGCTCGCCCCTTGTGCCCCCGGCTCCGCCTGCCCTGTCTGTGGTCAGGCCCCGCGCCTGCCACGCAGCCCCCAGACCTGCCCGCGGCTGCCCTCACGCGAGTCACTCGGGCACGCCTCAAGTCCCTTACAGTTCCAGAGGCCCTTTGCCTGATCTGCGATCGCCTCCAGACCCTCCTCTGAGACTTTGATCTCCGCCTGGTCCGGGAACACCGCCCCCGCCTCATAAAGGTCCCAGCCTTCTCCTCCACCCCCTGCCCCGCGCTCTGCGGGCTCCTTCTCCCGCCAAACTGTGGTCCTCCAGCCCGGAAACCCCAACTCCCCCAGCAGACTAACCCCTTGGGGAAGAGGGGGGACTCAGAAAAGCCCAAGAAGCAGACCCCATCCCAACGCTCCCAAGTCCACCGCGGGAAAAGTTTCTGGGGTCGCCGCAGCGCCCTCCACCCCGCCGGCGCGGCTGGCACTCACCGACCCCCGCGGCCCCGCAGCGCCGACGCTCCCGCTGGCCCTCGGCCCGAGTCACATCTCTGCAGCGCTGCCGTGGCCCCAGCCCAGCAATCCCGCCCGCCCGTCCGTCCGTCCGGCCTCACTGCATCGCACTCGCGAGCCGCAGCCGCGCGAGGCGCCCCCTGGCCCGGCCCGCGCTGCTGCAGCCGCCGCGGCCCCGCCCCCTGAGGTCCCGCCCCCAGGGCTTTCGAACCCCGCCCCCGTCCCGGCAAGGGCTGATTGTTCCAAGCGGAACCCGGCGCACGCTCCTGGCTCCCCGCTTGCAGCGCCCGAGACGAGCCCCCTCCAGTGTCCGCATTTAGAGAACACCACCCTCACATCCACAGCGCGTCCAAAAGCACTCTGGACGCTCTGGACACTTTCCTCCGTTGATCCACTTGCAGAAACACACACATAGGGGGGCTTTCTAAACCGTGGGTTCCTAAACAGCTGCTGTTCTTTCGCCCAGTCGTGGCCGACTCTTTGCGACCCCCCTGGACTGCAGCACGCCAGGCCTCCCTCCTCCCTGTCCCTCACCATTTCCTTGAGTTTGCCCAAGTTCATGTCCGTTGCCTCGGTGTTGCCATCCAGCCATCTCATCCTCTGACGCCCTCTTCTCCTTTTGCCTTCCGTCTTCTCCAGCATCAGGGACTTTTCCAATGAGTCCGCTGTTCGCATCAGGTGACCAAACTACTGGAGCTTCAGCTTCAGCATCAGTCTTTCTAGTGAGTACTCAGGGTTGATTTCCCTTAAGATTGACTGGTTTGATCTCCTGGCTGTCCAAGGGACTTTCAGAAGTTTTCTCCAGAACCACATTTTGAAGGCGTCAGTTCTTTGGCGTTCTGCTTTCTTTCCGGTCCAGCCCTCACAACAGTACCCGACCACTAGGAAGACCATAGCCTTGACTATACGACTTTTGTCGGCAGAGTAGTGTTTCTTCTTTTCAACATACGATCTAAATTTGTCGTAGCTTTCCTGCCAAGAAGTAATCATCTTCTGATTTCATGGCTGCAGTCACCATCTACAGTGATTTTAGAGATCAAGAAGAAGAAATCTGTCACTACTTCCACCTTTTCCCCTTCTATTTGCCATGAAGTAATGGGGCCCAATGCCATGATCTTAGTTTTTTGTAATATTTAGTTTTAACCTGGCTTTTTCACTCTCCCCTTTCACCCTCATCAAGAGGCTTTTTAGTTCCTCTTCGCTTTCTGCCGTTAGAGTGGTATCATTCACATATCTGAGGTTGTTGATGTTTCTCCCGTCTATCTTGATTCCAGCTTGTGTCTTATCCAAGCATTCTTATCCAAGAAATCCACAGCATTTCTCATGATGTGCCTGGTGTATAGGTCAAACAAACAGGGTGACAGCAGACAGCCTTGTTGGACTCTTTTCTCAATCTTGAATTCTAAACAGTTACTTCCCCACAATATACCCATGCCAGATCCAGGGTGCAGAGAGGATTCTGCTGAGACTGTTCCAGAATCAGTAACACCCCAATTTCAGCCAGGCAGCCCTTCCCACGGACACACTCCAATCCTGCCACCTCCCGCCACGTGTCCCTTTATGTACCCTGAGCCTCACATCCATGTTCTTGGCCACCCCAAACATACTCACACATCCACCACAAGCATATTCACAAGTCCACTCACCACCCCCCCACATGGGTCCACACGCAGAATCCCACTACCGCTGCTGCCCTCATCACCCACATACATACGCACGTTTCCACGATTGCCCTGGGCACACACTCGGAGGCCTGGGGGCCTCCGATCTGGCGCTCAGCCGACACCCAGAGCTCAGGCTGCTCACCCACCCACAGTGCAAGTGTGAGGCGCTCCTTAAGGGAAGGGTCTGGGCCACCTCGTACCTCAACAGAGTGTGGCTCCTAGTCCACCTGGGTGTCTGAGGTCAGCATTGCCTCAACCCTGCCTGGGGCCTGCCCTCCAGCTTCAGGCCGGCTTTTCCCAGTCGCCTCTCCGCAATCCGCCCCTCCCCAGAACTTTGAGGACCCCTCTGTGGTGTGGATAAGACCACTCACCCCATCCCAGCCCTATAAGACATGACAGAGAGATGACTCCTGTTCCCCCACTTCTCTGTGTGGGGAAAGGGGGGTGTGGAGAAGCAAGCAAGATGGGTTGTGGAATAGCACTTCCTTCTGGGCAAAGCTGCAGGCCCTGATCTTTGGGGATCGTGGAACTTTCAGATATTCTCACACCTCCCTGCGAGTCTCCTGCCCGGCCAAAGCTATTTTCTCCCAGGCAGGCCACATATCTTTGGGTAGGCCTCTCTGCAAAACCTTATATTAATTTTAACAAAAAATGCAGGAGAGGAAGCACGAAAACTGAAAACGTTCCCCGTTTCATTGGCAGACGTATTCTCAGAGCCTAGAACAGCGCTTGGCACTCCGTAGGCCGTCTTTATTTTATTTTGTTTTGTAGGCCATCTTTAAATGTTTGTGAGACATCCCTCTCCTCGGTGGTCCCCCAGGCTGGGGAACTGAAAGTGGGTGGGCACTGCCACCTGGTGGTATGTAGTGGAACTGACACCAAGATGCTTTTCTTTCCCTCTGTGCCTGCAAGCTAAGTCCCTTCAGTCCTGTCTCTTGCCCACCCCGTGGACTTCAGCCCACCAGGCTCCTCTGTCTTGGGATTCTCCAGGCGAGAACACTCGAGTGGGCTGCCATGCCCTCCTCCAGGGAATCTTCCCGACCTAGGGATCCAACCCGTGTCTCTGACATCTCCTGCATTTACCATTAGCACCACCTGGGAAGCCCCTCTTTCCCTCTGTTAAAGGTGGGGAAACTCAGCTTTGTAAGTTTTAATTTCCTCATATGCAAAATGGAGGATAATTTTAGCAATGCATGCCTATTGGTGGTGTTGTGAAGACTAAACACATATTACAGGGAATTCCATGGTGGCCCAGTGTTTAGGACTTGGCATGACCACTGTCAAAGGCCCAGGTTCCATCACTAGTCAGGGAACTAAAACCCCACAAGGCTTGCCCAGTGGCCAAGAAAAAAACAACACACATAAGAAAAAAGGGCTTCACATTGAGCCTGGCCTGGAAAGCTATGTGAGTTGGTTAATATTACAATTACGGTTATATTCCCCTTCCTGGCTCATTTTACAGAGGGATCTGACTGTGATGATCAATTTAGCTTTGAGTGATGATACTGTGAGAAGTAAAGGGTGAAAACCAAGGCACCTGTTGAGGGGCAGGTGCATCTGCCCCAAAAGTTCAAAGGTCCCAAGGACCCATCATCACTGTGAGCCAGGAACTCTTCAAAGTGCTTTATATTCTTTAGAGTACTAATCCTCCCAGCAACTCTCTATGCCAGATACTGTTATTTACCCATGTTATAAATGGAGGCACTGAGGCCCAGGGTGTTAATTATCTCCCACAGTCATAAGTTGGCAGAGCTAGGATTCCACCTAGGTCCTTCCTCTCAACCAGTGGTTAACGTTGTGTCATTTGCTGCAAAGTCAGATATCATCCTAGACAAGCCTCATGTCTCTGGAGGGCTTCCCAGGGCTCCAGCCCCAGAGAGAACAGCTCTAGGAGGTGCTGAGAGCTACATCAGGCTCTCAGATGCTCAGTCCACTTTGAGCTAATTGCTTGCCAGGCTCTATTTCTCAACTGAAAAATGGCAAGAGCACTGCCTGTGACTTTCCTACTGACAAATGTCCTGGTGCGTAATCAGGTGTTTGTGCGGCTCTTTTCTTAGTGTCTGTTTGCCTACTAGACTGTATCTCAGTGCTTTCCAATAAGAACTTTCTACAATGATGGGAGTGTTCTCTACCTGTGCTGTCTGGTATGGTAGCCACCGGTCACATGAGGCCGTTGAGCACTTTATATGTGACTGGTATGACTGTAAAACTCAACTTTCAGTTTTACATGTTCTTAATTAATTTAAATTTCAATAACCCCATGTGACCAGAAGCTCTAAGCGCAAAGAAAACAGGAACAATATCCATTGTTCATCCCTGTATCCTGTGCCCAGTACAGGGCATTGTTCATTAGATATTTGTTGGCTAAATGAATAAATTCCAGCCTTGTTTTTCCCTTGGAAGTATGTCTATTCTGCATCCAAACCCATAATGAACCTCTTTTCTCTGCTAAATAGATCATTTTCCAAAGGAAGGTGCTGCTCAGGATTCTGGAGTCACTGCATCCACTTCTGTGGATCAACTAGCTCTAACCAAGGATCCTTCTGAGGTAGATATTGCTGTCTTGCTGTGACAGCATTGAGTCTTGGAAAGGTTGAATGACTTCTCCGAGGTCTTATGGCTGCTAAGCAAGTAGAGGCAGGATGTGAACTTAGCGATGCATGCTCTTCCCATCCACTGTACTGTCTCATGGGTGAGAATTCTGGAAACACCAGTAAGCTCCATGGAGAAGTGAATTTGAATGATGTGGATGCAGACACCAGGTGACTGCCTGAATATCAGACCTCGATGGATCACTAACACTCCCCCTGGGTGTCTGCTAACTAAGTGTGGGCTTTGTACCTGACCCTGTTGTGATTCACAGATGGACACGAGGTGGCTCCTACCTCAGGAAGCTCCAGCGAGCAGAGGAGGCAGGCTGTTTCACTAAAGTGAGAGACAGGTGGTTAGTCCAAAGCATGTGGGAGTACCTCAAATGAATGGAGTCCTGGGAACCCTTGCTTGGGGGCTCAGCTTCCCCAGAGACTTCAGAACTTGACTTTCCCTCCAGAGTGGGAATGAGGGGCTTTGAGGCCACTGGCATGTCTGGACGCATTTTTTTGGAGTGATCCATTCAGGAGTAAGGAGTGTGGGATACGTCACTCTGCAGGTTTGTGCCTGTGACAGACATCACTAATCGATCATCACGCTCGTTCTTATCTCAGTGTGACTTATACTGCTCATTATGTGCTAGAAGAGTCGGTCACTCTTGCAAAGTGCTCCTCAGTTATTTCTGGAGTCCCTATCAGGGCGCCTCACAGGTGTCCACAAGCCAGGATATCAGCTGCCATCACCATGTGGCAATCACCTGCTCTTTCTTTCCTGCACTGGCTCCCATAGGCCCTTGTCTGTGGTCCACAAATTACTTGGAACAGTCTCATCATGGCCCTTGTGGTTCCCTGTGAGGTCAACAT